TTTTGGGTGCCGGACCTCCCTTACTTGGCTTCGATTATTTTTAGGAAAAGGACACTTTCATCTGTGTCAAAAATCAACCAATTTTACTAATTTCATTTCTTAGCACATTTTTTTCAATTAAAAAGTGTTTCTGATGAACCTGTTATTCATTTTGCTTTTGAAATTTAGCTGCTACTATTGCTACTTTCATGTTACACTTTTATCATAACCATTAATTATTTTATTTTATTCATCTGAAAGCACTGCTTACCTTTTTTGCCACTATCTTTCTACTTTGTTGTATATACAGTTTGTTTATTAATGCGATGTTTGTGAGCATCAGCTAATTTCATTTCCTCTCATAAAACAGAGCCAGAATGTTTTTATATAATCCTCTTGACAGAATAAAAGTATTTCAGTAAAATTGTTTTCACTGTTAAAGGCCCACCCAAATGGTTTAGCGATATGTCTGTGGACTTAAAATGCTAAAAACTGGGTTTTGTTACCCCTGGTGGGCACACCATAGGTAACTCTTTGTGTAACGTTGTACTTAATTATAAACAAACAAACAATCACTGTTAAAAGCTTAAAATGTTATAATAAGTTTTCTGATATATAACACAAAAACTGGTGATTTGTTTTAAGATGACAAGTGTAATGAGAAATTACAAATAGTCTGGTAGTATTTTCAAATGGTTAAGTTTACTGTCATTAGACTTCATACCATGATCAGTGTGAAATTGCATATGCCATTGTGAGTGAAACCTTGCTAAGTAACAAACTTTATTGGTTCAGTCTTATTATAACACAAAGATTCTTAGCTGAAATGTTATATATGCAAGTTATGCATTAGACACCAAGTTTTGTGTTATATAAACATGGAACATGAGCCACTGTAGGGTAACAAATTTAATATATCACAACAAGATTGAGAATAATTGTAAACAATATTATATTAAAACAAGATGTTTCAGCTAACTTTTTCAACTCCAGTCTTGAAGAAGAGTTCTTGTTTGCAGTATGTTATATTAGAGGTATATAGAATACTGCTATAAACTAATTAAAATTAGTACTTAAAAATTTTATTAGGTTTATTCTGATGGTTCATTACACTTTTAGTGAAAAGTAAGCTTTTTAGTAAGTTCAGCATTATAATAAACATTATAAGAACATGGTAAATGATTAAAATTAATTGAAACATAGAAGAATCCATAAATAAAGCATAAAAATTTGCATACAGTAAAACAATTATTGCCTTAGGCTAAGAAGATGACTGGTTTAGGGGGTTTGGTGGAGAAATTTAATTTTTGGAAGGAGAATCTTCTTTCATTATAACCTATGGGAGTACAGGAGTGCTGCAGGAAGAGGAATTTCCCGAGTTGCTGGATGTTAATGGCTCCAATCTTGGCTTCTTTCTAAAGAAGCTGTCAAGAGTTGACTGCTGTGATGCCTTCCTCTTCATAATTAACAACTTCTTGAAGTACGACACAACTTTGTCATCAAACTGACAGATTTGAAGCTCTTTTTGCTCTATGGATGGATCTCTGCTGATATATTTCTTGACAATGTTCCAAGAGTGTAAAAGTCCATTCAGCTGTGCATTTGTCAGGGCATCATCTTTTTGCTCCTTCTCCTCAATGTCATATTCAATGAAGCTGTCCAGTTCTTGCAGGTCCTCTGTGGTGAGCTACCTATTGTGAGAGTTAACAAGGTCTTCCACATCATCCTGGTCCACTTCTGGCTCCATAGATTCACCAAATGAGACAATTTCTTATTGTACAGCAGCAACATCTTCAAATCCTTCAAAGTCTTACTGGATTGCTGGTGAATAAGGTCTCCATGCAGCGTTCAAGCAGTGCACTGATACTTCTTGCCTTACAGCCTCCTGAATGCTAAGTTGAGTCTTCCAAAACTCTTTCAGTGTTAGCCCATCTTTGTGTGATGTACCCTTAAAACACTTATATAAAACCTTCTTGGTGTAGAGCCTCTTGAATTTGGCTATCACTTGCTGGACCATAGGCTGGATCAAAGATGTGATGTTAGGAGGCAAGAACTTTACTTTGATCAAAGGAAATTTTGCTATCAAAGAGGGAGCAAGTTCAGGGTCATGGCCAGGTGCATTATCCAAGAGTAACAGTTTTCACTTCCATCTCATTCTTAGTTAGGTACTTCTTCGCAGAGGGGGAAAAAACTTTGGAAGCCCATTCATAAAACAACTGCCTGGTCACCTATGCCTTACAGTTGCATTTCCAATAGACCCCCAATTCACCTCTGATGACTTTTTGTTGCTTAAATACTCTTGGATTCTCAGAATAGTACACAAGCATGAGCTTCAATTTGAAATATCTTGATGCATTAGCCCCAAGCAACAAGGTAAGCCTATCCTTTATGGGCTCATGGCCTGACAAAGCATTTTCTTCCTTGGTGATGTAAATCCTCCAGGGCATCTTTTTCCAAAAGAGCCCAGTTTCATCCACATTAAATACTTGCTGGGGCAAATCCTCCAGGGCATCTTTTTCCAAAAGAGCCCAGTTTCATCCACATTAAATACTTGCTGGGGCAAATAGCCTTCCTCCTCCATTAATTCAGCAAATTCCACTTTGAACTTTTCTGAGGCCTCCTTGTCTGCACTGGAAGCTTCACCATGCCTAACCACAGAATGAATCTTACTTCTCTTCTTGAACCTTTCGAACCAACCCTTGCTTGCCTGGAAATCTTCAAAAACTGAACCCAAGGATTGAGCTGATTCACGTTTAAAGGTGATAAAAAATGGTTTCAACCTTCTCACAAATCATACTGCTATCTATGGACTCGCCTCACATTTGCCTATCATGAAACCAAAGCAACAGCAGTCTTTCCACTTCCACTATTTTTTTAACCTTCCTGTAATGACCCTGGATGATGCATCACTCACTTTGATAGCTTTAATTTTCACCTTATTTAGCAGGATGGTGGAAATTGTTTATTGGGACAAGCCATTCTCTTTAGCAAGCACACTTGTTTTGCCCTCTTTTTCTGACTTCTCAATAATTTCCTATTTTATCTTAAGGGTTATGCAATTCCTACTCTTCTTATACTTTTGCGAATTATCTTTATGGGCCATTGTGATCACTATAAATTCACTTTTAAATCGATAAATTCAATAAAATCACAGAGTCTGCAAGAGACTTCTTGCCACAGCACAGCAAACTATCTAAACAAAGACAGTTTGGCTCCAAATGCTCATAAATAGGCATCACTGATTGACTGAGGTTTACCAAGTTTAGTTAGAAGCCATCTAATTGGCCGCAACTTGCACAATTCATTATGTGGAAAATATTTATTGTGTGAATCAATGGAGCCTATGGGAGGCAATTCGTTAAATGGAAATTTGTTATCCAATAGCTTCATTATACGAGGATTCACTGTATAAATTTTCTCAACAAACTGATTTTCTGATATGTACTCAGTCCACAACTATTAACCCTTTCAAAACAAGTCATGGATAAAAGGCCATGTCATCTCGTTTGTTGACTTGCATTCAAAATTTTATTGAACTACTATTTCATGAATTTATGTCAATAAGTTTGGTATCAAACTAGATTATATAATTCAAATTTTAGTACTATACATTACTCAATTTCTTAATTTAAAAGTAAATATTAAA